CCCCACCTAAACAAAAACAAGAGAAAGTGGAATGAGTTCTTACATCCGGGTTTACAACAGCGGAACCTGAACACTCTGTCGTGTTGTCGTTGGTGCCACTCGCTGGACAGTCCCGTGATGACGTCATTGTTGGGACACTGATACTCCATCAGGCCGTCGGGGTCGTTGGTAGCAACTGGCGGACAGAACAGTCAGGATCAATAAACTGGTACTGTTACTGTGCGTCCCATCCCTACCGCCCAGGGCAGTGCTACCGACTGAAGTGTCTTAAGGCCATTCCCAAAGGTGGGATATTAATATTTTCTTATGCACGGAAGAATTTGCCTCTTTTAAGGACATGCAGGCTAACTCAGATTTCAGGGCTTTCCAGAAATGTTGACATACACCAAAATAGGCATTGCCCAACATATAGGAGAAGTTTGGTTTCATTGGTGTGTATATTTGTTTGGTTATAGAGAAAACTCTCCTTGTCTTTTAAAGAAACTGAACAAGGAGCAAAAACTTTACCTTTGATTTTCTCAAAACAGCGTTTTCCGGGATAGCCCACTTGTGCTTAAAAGTGACCAATTGTAAATGGGCCGATTTACCAGTCATGCTCATACTGTGCCGGAACAACATAGGGGGTACTCATGCTTTTTCTTTCCTCATCCTTACCATCGTCATTTTTCCTCTACTTCTTTTGTATGTTTCTCACTCTCTTGTGAACTGCTATTCCCAGGGTGCCTTGATAGTCGAAGCAGATTTTGTATTGAATCTAGAGAGGTGAGCAGAGTAAGTCTGATTCCCCATTTAGACTTCTCTGTTGACGTCCTTGGCACTCATATGACCTTACACAGTTGAGAGCGCCATAAAACCTTACTCACACTAACTAAACGTACTGTTTTTGTTTTAAATATAGATGTCTTCCCCCTGCCCTTCCTCTCCCCCTATCGACACGACGTATATCATTTAGGAGGTGAGTTTCCGAACCTGCCTGTTAAAACCAACCCCGGGTTGAGAGGGATACAAAAAATTCTCAGCAGAAAGGCCGAGATGCTGTACGGATAACAATTGGTCGCTTTTAAGGACAAGCGGGCTAACCCGGATTTCGGGGGGCTTCAGACTGAAGTGTCTTTTAGGCTGCTGCCTAGGGAGGAGGGGGGGGGCATTAACATGTTCATATGCACATTAGAATTGTAAATGGGCTAATTCATCAATGCCATGCTCATAACTGTGCCTGAACTGCAATGGAGAACGGCTGCTTTTATTCTTTCCTAATCTTAACTATCATCATTTCTTTTGTATGTTTGTCACACTCTTGTGAACTGCTATTTCCGGGGTGCCTTGGTAGTCGAAGCAGGCTTAGTATTGTTGAGGCTAGAGAGGTGAGCAGAGTAAGCCTGATTCCTCGTTTAGACTTCTCTGTTGACATCGACCCCTTGGCGCTCATATAATAATAATAGATAGTATTTGTATAGAGCAAATCCCCGCTCAACAGCCAGCTCTATACGCTTCGCAATCTATACTATTACCCCCAGCAGACCTGAGAGCATTCTGAAACAACTTTAACTTCCTGTGAAGCATACAGTGCATGCAGCCGCCAATTATAGGCGATAAAACACTAACATACTGACAAAACCTTTCGCTGTCTGTCTTTATGACCTTATGCAGTTTTGAGCTCCGTAAAAATTCTACTAAAAACAAAACAAAAAACTCACCGCTCCATTCACACTGGGTTAGTTCTACAGTTTGGTTCATTTTGGAGCACGAGACATTCCACACTCGGTCCTCGTGGTGGTTGTCATGGATGCTTGTCAGTGTCTGTGGACGAGGAAGGTGGGAGAGGTGGGTTTTCTCTGGGTTCTTTGGGTGGGTGGGTGTCTTTGTGTGTGTGTGTGTGTGTGTGTGTGTGTGTGTGTGTGTGTGTGTGTGTGT